CCAGGGGATCCCCCCTGCCCCTCGTGCTGCTTCCAAGCCCAGGAAACACGGAACACTCTGGTCTCGCTCCCTGCCACTTCTGGGATAGGGCTCGTTTCAGTGGTGGTGAGGAGGACGAGGGAAAGGTTGCGTTCTGGGACACGGTTGGTTAAAGAATGTTTGCGGTTCTTGTGGTTTTCCATATTTTTTTTAGTGTATTGTATTAACCAGCAGTGGTTTTGACTTTTTTTTGTTGCCATATTTTTATGGTGATGTCTTGTATGTCTAAACTACTCTGCCACTTGTTCAAGGATGATGGAAGGCATCTCTTCTAAGCACAGCAGAAGTGATGCTTTGGGCAATTAAAAACACTTCTTACAACCATACAGGCAAACCTCACTCTGTGTGTGTGTGTATGAGACTAACTCACCACCTCCTTCCTGTACCTACAGCAGTCCTGTTTCTAAAAGAAAATGCAAATGATCAAAAATACTTTTCAAATCTGTTTATTACTACTAATCACAATGTGGAACAGCGTGGTCATAACATACCCTTCTCTAAAATAAGTCAGGTGCTATTTCTTTCCTTCATAAGAGAAACTCCCCAGCCCCGCATGCTGAATCTCTGCCTTATTTGACTTTTGTTTCTCCCTGCTGCCCTCAATCCTCCTTTGAAGCAGCAGCTTCCATGTGGGAACCCCCCTGTGCCCAACGTGGCCCTGTCAGTCCGCGTTGAGCGTGAGGCAGACACCCTGAAGCACCCAGTGGGAAATGTGCTTCGTGGTGTAGAGATCAGCTTCGAACACCAGGCCGACCCCCATGGCGTTCCGGCGCAGGGCCGTCGTGTACACCGGCGTGCGGAAGGTGTTCTGGAACGCGCGGAGGGAGAGGGGACACCGAGTCAGTGCAGCCTGAACCTGAGAGCTCCAATTCCCCAGCTAGGGCTCTTAAAGAGAGATGATTAATATGTGGATTTCTTAATTCTTAATGAATATGTGGATTTCTTACAAACTTTAAAAAAAAAAAAAAAGACAATCTGAACTTCATTTATGTTACTAACTGGAAATAGGAAATAAAGGAAGGAGTAAGGGGCTTAGAAGAGCTTCCCAAGATGGTTATTTCACATTAAATGGAAGAGGAGTAATCAATAAGACAACCTCTAGCACTGAAAGAAAAGAGAAAGTTAACGTAAAGGTGTTAAGCTGCACACTTTATGTATTAGCAAATAATAATAAAATACTTCCTGCAAGAGAATGTATACTTCTTGAAGGAGGTAAAGCCTACCAGCTGCTGAGGTAGAAAAATAATCTGCCATTGTTCCTAAAGGAGACGTACCTGGAGTTTGAGCCTGTGTGCTTCAATGGGAATGATCTTCAGAATAGGTAATTCCACCACAAGGACTTTGGGCTTGCTCTTCGTAAGGCAGTTGTTCTCCATGTCCCAGTCTGCTCCTTCCAGGTACAGCCCAGAAACAAAACATCCTGTAACAACAGAAACGCAGCATCGTCTTTAACTCAAACTACTGAAAAAAAGCAGTTCCTTCAGACAACTGCTGTCCTTGAATAGCTACACCTGGATACTGTAGGACCTCAGCAAAACTCAAACGGGAAATACAAATAGTCTGTTTTTCTGTAGAATTTTGTTTTCTTTGATTCAGCGATGATGTCTGGCACTGGGGGGAAGTCTGTTTTCAAATGAAAATTGGCTCAATTGCCATTTACATGATAGACATTTTTAGGAGTAAATGCTGCTTTCCCTGCAGTTTCCTCCCCACAGTGTGTGACATCCCCAGTAACAGCTAAGCTCTAAGGGAGCTTTTTAAAGCCCGTACGAACGTCACCTTTTGTAGCACGACAGAACCAGGAGGGTGGGCACAGAGCTTGAGCTTGCACAATGCCATGATCTTTTGCTAGCTTGCTAGTAAATAAATAGCCAAGGAAAGCCCTGAGGTGACCTTCTTTTTCTTCCCTCCAAATTGAAATTATATTTTGCACAAACATTCAGAGATTTTTTTCCTCTTCTATTTCCAATCAGATCTAGCACACCAGAGCTGCTCCGCTGGCCCTTTACCTAGAGTTTGTTACACTCAATAACAAGAGCACTGCTGGGCCTAGGAAGTGTATAGGTTTGTTTACACAATGTGAGCCATCACTATCCATTTATTTTTTGCTTAAACATATAATTTATTGTAAAATCACATCCTTATAAATATACTAGGATCTGCAATGTTCTCAACATTAGAGAAAATTAATAATAAGAAAGAAAATCATATTTAGTGAATAGAGTAGATGGGCAGCAAAGAGGAACCCAAACCTAGCTGATTCCCAATTCTAGGCCATGCAGGCTGTTAAATGCACCACCAAGTGTGTTGTCTGGGGAGATGCAATCTAAATAAATGCACCCGTTAAGCCAAGCAGGCTGTTAGGCAGCGCGCGCTCTCACTCGCTTTGTCTTTGACCAATTGTTTTCTTTTGGAAAGTATCAAAAAAACCCAGCTACCTTGTCCAGACCCCTCGGTGACGTCCTCTGCCGTGGTGTACGCTGTCACCTCGGTGTAGAGCGTGGAGCGGTCGAGGGGCCAGCCGTTCCTGCGGCAGGGGCGCCGCGCCGGGCGGGGGCGGGGATGTGCAGGCCCGAGAGCCACATGACCTTGGGCTCGCCCTCATTCACCTGCAGTCACAAGACAGCGGCTCCTGCTCCGTTCTGCGCCAGACCCAGAACTGCCCAGACCCAGAACAAGGGCTTTGACCTTGGTGCCAAAGCCTTCAAAGGCTGCCCACTGGCTCTTCTCCGGTAGTTCCACCATCATGTGAATTCTCTATCATCCCAGCTGGTGACCAGAGTTGGTTCAAACTTATTTAAACTTATTATAGACTTATTTAAAGCAGAGAGCGTTTACTGACTTCTGCACCCCAGCACTGATCTGTGTAGCCACATAACCCAGATTAATGAAGCAAAAAGCAGCCTAGAGGTTCTCACTTACCCAGGTGCTGTACTGCTGATACCGATTTCTAAAGAAAATCATCCAGTTCCCAAGTGTTTTCAGCGTGTCCGGGGCCAGCCGCCGCCAGATACCGGGAATCTGTCCATTAAAGAGAGCCCGAGCCACGTCGTCCAGTTCACTGCTCATCCCAACTTCCCCCGCCAAGGCCTGGAAAGGCAGGGAGAGCGCGAGTGCCGAGCAGGGCCCACCAAGGCCCGACCCGTTTCCCGCGGAAGCCGTGGGCCGCTGCGGCAGAGCTGCTACTCACACGCTGCAGCTCAGCCAGAGACTTCGCCATCCGAATGATCAGTTTATTAAAACGTTCCAGTTCCTGCAGCAGCACCACCGTAGTAGGGGATATGTCTATTCCAAAAACCTTCCGGATCTGGTCAAGATCAAACACTTGCGGTATCTTGTTTTGTATATCCTTAGCAACATTCCCAATATATTCATCTCTACTAATTCCAGTCCCGGATTCACCTGAAGCAGAAATGGATTAGTAAGACTAAAGTCAAATAATGTATCCCTCCTATTCCTAATTCTGTAGAACTAATAGAGCTGACTCAGCTTGTGGCACCAAGCCCTGTGCCCACCCCCTGCAGCGCTGCCAGTGGATCCCGCGCGGACTCTGCACCCCTTCCCGGCCGGGCGCTGCAAACCCCGCCCCGGGGCGCGAGCCGCGGCAGCCCCAGCCAGGCCCGGATCCACCACGCGCTGGGGGCCCCGGCCTGGCTGCCATCCCCGTCGCAGGGCGCGGAGCTCCGCACCGCAGCGCTGCCCCCGTGCACACAGCTCCACGGCGCAGAATGGCACCTGTCTGAGGCTGCAGCTCCAGGAGATGAGCCCACATGTCGCGAGCTGCCTGTGTGTAATACCCAATCTCGGCGTTTGAATGAAGTCCAAAGACCTCCGGGGTATTAGCGAGGGGCAGCGACTCAATCTCCTCTATGATACAAAAACACAGAGCATCAGCCACAAGCAAGACACAGCCCAGGGTGACCGGGCGCTGCAGCAGCTACAGCAGCTGCTCCTGTTACCTCAATGACCAGGTGTTGATACTGAACACTCTGTAAGGATTGAATAGGCATTTCTAGCATTAAATACGTACACACACAAAAAATACGTATATGTATACACACACACACACACACCACCTATTTACATCATGTTTAAAAAAAAACAGCATAAGTTATAGGTGTTTTACTAGAGATTTCAGTTAAAGAAATGTGAGGAGGTAGCTGCTGAGCTTGCATGCTGTTACCAACGGCTGCTCATGCAAAGGAAAAGTGTTATCATCACTTACATAACACTGCAACACACACACACACACACACACACACTGACATTGCTATTTCTTTCAATTCTTCATATTCAGCAATACATGCTTATAAAGAGAAAATTTATACTGTAAATAGACAGTATAGTGCCTAAGTGCTAGATAATGTGGCAGAAAAAAACATTTCTTACCAACAAAGTCATCTTTTACAGTCCCTTCCGGAATTTTATAATCAACCTCATCATTTTTATAAAAATGAAACATCTGGAATGTGTCAAATATGAAATCACCCAGGTACTCATCCATGTAGACAGTCAGAATGCGGCGATCAAAGCTATCGATTGCACGCCCACCATACATGACCTAGAAATGAGTTAAAGCAATATTAAACCACTGGCTTTTTGGGGCAGCAAATGCAGTTAAGGCCCAAGCGGCAGCTTTGCTGTTGCAGAACTGCTTGGCATGATGGAGTCTCCTGTAAGGGACCAACCACAACTCCCGAGTTCCCAAGGGGACTGTGCGGGATCCTGGGGAGTGCAGAGCTGCTCCGGGCCACTCCTACGAACCAGCCTTGGTGATCTGTGTGTGACAACAACTTCCTTAGGAGACCAGCTCATAAACAGCCATGATTAAGCACTGCAAAACAACCATTTCCTGCTGCTGCAGCTACGTGGAACTGGTGGCTGCTACACAGCACCATCCCCCAGAGCTTTGTATTCAGATCTGTTTGTACAACAACCCCCTGTGCTAACAGCTCGCTGCAGCTCTCCCATTTGGTACCTTTCATCAGGGGATCCCCTGAGCGCTCTCACTCAAAAATTAATAAAGAACCTCAACTCCCCTGTTGTGCAGTTACACACAATGGCCCAATTTCCCTGAGACAATGAGATTAAGTGACTTTCTCAGGACTACACAGGGGTTTCGAGACAGCCCTGGAGAGATTCTGGGGCAGCTTTCCTTGATACGGCCCATGCAGAAGGGAATCTGCATTATTCCAGATTATTTTATCTTCCATGTTCCTTAATGAGATTCTGGGCACTCACCTCACCAATAAGATACTTGAGACTACTCCAGGGGATTTTCTCATCATTTTGCTGGAAAGCTTTTGTCAAATATGTGTTGAGAATTTCCATGCAGACCTAATAAATATGTTAGAACGTGACATAACAGAGGATTCGCAAATTAGCTATAAGTATCCATCAGTAACAAGGTTCTTATTTAAAAACTAAAAAGCATTTCTTCTCAAATAATTAAAAAGTTTGGTATAAATCCATTCTAAAAAAAATGTGAGGGAAGTAATATTAACAGGAAGACCTGGCAATCTGATTCATTTTTAGAGATTTTTATGGTGACCACGGCAGCAGAAAAAAAAAAGGGAAAATACCAATGTGAGAGAGAATTAAAGCTGGATAGATGGTACATTTTCAAAAGTAATCTGTCATCTCAAGAACATAAAAGCCATTAGCATTAGCTTCTTACCTGGAAATCAGATTCATTGAAATCATATGGCACATTCCAGCCAATCTTGCCAAACTTCCTTCTCTCCTGAACCACAGCATGGAAAAATGCCAAGACATAGACTAATGATTTAAAGGCAGGATGTGGGCACTGCTCTATGGCTTCTGGGGGGATTTTGAAGTAGGTAGCTCTCATATTCAGTTTCAGACCATTAGGTGGTTCTGTCACAACCTACATCAAAGTAATCAGAGAAACCATTAATTACTGAGTAGACTCAAGAATACATATTGTAAATAGACTGTGCTTTCTCAGTGTGTTATATAATGCAAGCTTTAAAAACCTAATCAGCTTTCTAAATTCAGACCCATAAGGGAACTTCTCTTATGTAAAGTTAGGACACAGACCTGTTTATTTTATCAGGGTAAACACGTGTAAAGAGAAATTTGGTATCAATTTAGAAAGAGTCATGCAACCGGGTAAATATTATTAACATTTATCATACTTAAAGATCTAATTTACTGAAATATACCAGTAGCCTGACTGCCCATTTTGGTAAGTCACACGCATCATTACGGTAGGACGGCTGAAGTCTTTAGCGTGGCTCTTAAGGCACAGCCAGCTTCCTGGCAACACGTTCACTGCTCTGCAACCCCTTGTCCTCGCTGCTCATGAAAGAGGGTATTTGCAGCCTTTAATCAAAGCTTTGTTCATGCTTTCTGCTCCCCACACTGCAGAGCTGTCGTCGAGGCCCTGGGGATGTACTGGGTGGATGGATCATGCCGCTGCCTTTGAACGTGTCGCACAGAGTGGTTACGTTTACAGGAGTGGCTCAGCACAATCCCAGTAAAGCCACCACAGAAAGGGCATTAGGACAGCAGCCTGCCTTGTGCTTTCAAAATAATCAGCTCAGCTTGCTTGTGCTAAATGCTGCAGCCTGAAGTAGCAGCTGGAAACCATCATCCTATTACAGCCTCTGCTCTAGTGACACTATTGCCAGGCCAGACACAGACCTCGGCTCTGCACTTCAGCATCAGGACTGACAGGGCTATTTCTGTCTCTCCAGCTACTCCCCATTAGCAGTGCCATTTGGGGCTAAGGAGCACTTGTCTCATCTCCAGGTTTGCTGACAATCCTCTGCTCGGAAATAAATGCTTCAGAGAAACACTACTGAGTGATTTTCACCTAAAGAAAAATCACCATCCTATAAACAGGCTGATGAAAAGAACATTTGACTTGGAAAGGCAGAAAGCTCCTAGAGACCAAGCCTGCGGCATTCAAGTCCTGCTCCTCCCCAGAGCAGTCTGTTTTGCTGAATAAGAGAGGCAGGACACGTCCTCCCCCTGCTCCCTACCTTTAGTGACTTCTGCAGGATTCCGATGGGGAAGCCCTTGGTGGGGTCTGTCGTCAACCAGAGGCGGAAGTCTGGGTGAGGCTTTGTGATTTTCTCCAGGGCCTTCTCCAGGTCAATAAGCCACCGCACCAGCAGGTGACAGTTCTGCAACATTAACCACAGGCCACGAGCCACCACGTTCTCCAGCATCTGCAGGGCAACCTTAGGAGAGGGAAAAAATTGCCTGTGAGTAGTCTTCCTTTTATCCCAGAAGCAGAACGACTCTGATGGGTTAGTGCTGTGAATTTCTTCTTGCTAACGAGCACACTTGGCTTTCCCATTACTGATAGCAGACTTACCAGAACACTGCACATTAAGAACAGATCTGTTGCATTACCACAAGAAGGTGCTCCAAAATACTCTTTTTATTTCATTAATTCCTTCTGAAATGAAAGTCATGCAAAGCATTCAGTGATTTCATGGGCTGGAAGAGGGTGGTGATCAGAGCTTTAGATGCTCTAAAGGAACCTAACAGTTCTGCAGCGACTGAAATCACAGCAAACTCAGTCAGCTGCTGAGCTCTGCAGATCCCTGCCTTAGTGTCTGTAACAAAGAGGGAAGTGGGCAGCAAAGAGAGCGTGTCTTTTTGGTACACACATGACACCCAAGATGAACCATGTCCATAGACAGAAAGACAGGGTCACTGATTAAACTCTGAAAGACTACAGAGAAATATCCTTTCAGCTCAACTTTTTTTAACAAAGATGACAAAATCATTCTGAATCCATCCTTATCCAAACCACAGAACCAGCCAAATGCCCCTTGCAAGTTACAGGAGAACATTATTCCCAGGCTGACAAATTGTATGCCAGGTCTAAACAACCAAGTAATTCCATTTGGAATGGAGCAGGTCTTTGGAAAGGAAATTTGGACAGACCCATAATGTTAAGATTATGATTTGCAATTACCCACTAACTTCCTGCAAACAGCACGTTCCTGCCCTCCCACTGAAATTACCTTCTCTTGGCCTTGTCCCATGGCGAGGAATTTGAGCCTGTTCCCACCAAAGCCGCTCCTCTCCGCCAGCTTCATGAGGTCACTGGCAGGATCCGAGCCAGGACTTAAGATAAAAACGATGGGCGAGTAAGGACTGCTCTGCTCAAAGATGGCCTCGAAGCTGATCACGGGGGGCTGCACGTACCTGGAAAGAGAAGCAAAAGGAAGCACAGTAAACTGCTTTGCTGGTTTATACAAAAGCAGCCACCTCACATCAAAGTTCCCTGCAGAATGTATATGGAAATAACACATTCTCTATGCTCTATTATTTAGACAAATTGCATAATTATGTAACTGATTACAACGCCAGTTTTGTGTGAAGTACCTGAACAGAGGGATTCTGATTTGTAATGATGGAGTAACTTACTTCTCACTCATTGTCAGAGTAACATAGTCTGTAACTGCCCGATATACCCGGTCCACTCGGAAGCACCGCAGAAGCAGGAGCTTCTGGAAGTTTGTGAGACTGTTCTGGTAGTGCATGGGGAATGGCGTCTGCTCCAGAGCATCGATATCATACCACTGGCAAAGAGAGATGGGAGACAACGCAAATTAATCACATGGATCTATCAGTGAAATTACTAGGAAAGGTAGAGAAAAGCAATTTCATTAACAGGGGGCGAAAACCAAGAGACAGGAGGAAGAAAATCAGCTATAAACATTTTTTTAAAAGATTGTAATAAAGGAATGACAAAAGTTTTTCAGTATATGAACATTGAACATATGAACATATGAACTGAAAAGTTTTTCAGATGAACATTTAATTCCAGAAGAAAAACAATGTTTTTCAGTATATAAAAAAAATAAAGTCCAGAAACACATTCATACTTTCATTTTGTGACAAGCTGTTCTCTTAAGATACAGAAAATAGCATTTCAAACAGAAGAGCATTCACAGATTGCTTCCAGAAAGATTTCTTTAAAGCACAAAGACAAGCAATGAAACTGAAGGCAGAACAAGGGAAGGCCTTTGTAACTAGACTGCACAATTCACTGCCACAATAAGATCAAAGGACAATTTAGCACAAAGTAAAATGAAATCTGTTGAAATCAGCAGTAAAAATCCCACTGTCTTCAACAGGACAACCTAAGGCATTTGTTTGGAAAATAGAATACAGACTGGGGGTCAGGGGCAGTTGTTTTTTTAAATAAGAGACCTCGTTCTTCTTTAAATAAGACAGATTAAGCTTGAGTAACTGAGGCCAAGAAGAAAAGCAGGGCCTTGACAGAAAAAGCCAGTGATCACCTGCCTTCTGTGGCGTGCTATGGTGCATTGCATCATCCTTGAACATTTAATTCCAGAAGAAAAACAAGAGGAGAAAACAGGATTGCAGAACCACAGAATCGTTAAGGTTGGAAGGGACCTCTAGAGATCATCTAGTCCAACCCCCTGCACACGCAGGGTCACCTAGAGCACGTGGCACAGGGCTGCGTCCAAGCGGGTTTTGAAGATCTCCAGAGAAGGAGACTCCACAACCTCTCTGGGCAGCCTGTTCCAGTGCTCTGTCACC